CCCCGTATGGAGAACTGAAATTGCTAATGAAGGAATATAAATGCCTTGCTTCATTACTTCAGGGAGGTTAGTTGCGTATCCTTTAGCAGTATGTAGGAAAAGCTGATTATTAGGTTAACAGTGTATTGGTCTACTTTCATAAATCCACAAAATAGAAATTGAGGAAATAAGTTTCCAAAGTTCTGCTTAAAGGAATAATTCTGCAAATGTGTGTTCTTAAGTTTATTTTTTTTCTGTGTAAAAGAAAGTACTCTTCCTATCTTAGACTTCATGTAACCCCTTATCCTAAAGCTTTGATGTACAGTGGCAGGAATCCTGCCACAATTTGGAGCCCCTGTGGGACTCTGCACTGTGCAGATCTGTTTCTTCCCAGAAAATTGGTCTAGGATCGTGATGTTCTGTATGAGGGAAAGACCCTAATTTTAGAAATGAATGCTTTTAAAAATAGTAAGTTCTTCAGGTATGGATAGGATCACTTAGATTTGTGTCAATTTGAGCATACTAATGATACCTCATTTAAATCTCTGTAATATTTTGTAATATGAATGTCACAGTGTCTTTGAAATACAAAGGAAATACGCATCTTGCTTCTTTTTGCATAAGTTAGTAGTCTTTGCCACCTCCTCTTATTATGTTGAAGTTGCCTGCAATGCTTGTCAATCCAAATCTGTGAACACTGTCAACATACATTGATTGAAAAAGTGCTTAATTGTATATCATGCTTCTGGTTTGACATCAAGTTTTTTGCTGTTTAAAATCACAATTTGATATTGTTCTGTTTTAGACATCCTTAGCCACACGTTTTGCCCAAGAAACATTTGGAAAACAGTACAAACAAACCATAGGACTGGACTTCTTCTTGAAAAGGATAATATTGCCAGGTAAGAGAATAAAAACTGTCACTAAAAGGTTTGGCAGCAGTAAGACTTGCAGAATCAGATTCTTCAAAGTAATGTATACTAAATAAGCTCAGTACAGTGCTTTTTATGGCAAAGTAAATTAGGTTATTCAGAGAAAACTTTGTTAATATGTTCCTGCCAGGTGACAAAGGGTTATACATTTGTAATGTATATCTTTAAGTAAAACACTGAATTAAAATAAAAGAAATGCTATCTGTATTCATGATTTTTGTTATCTCTGAGTGTACTCGCTGTCCATGTGGATAGTGTAACATGCAACAATGAAATGGAACTTTAAACATATTGAGAAGGTATATGTGCTTTGAAAGAAATAGATTTATATTTTTTAAAATGAAATACACAACTTGTATTTGAGTTGTGTAAGAGAAGCATAATGCAGCTATGGAATCGCAGTGCTCTAATATGTGAATGCTGTTTTATGCAAGGCAGCATGAAATTGCTGGCATTTAATAGACCACTAAAATTTAGGGTCCCTCGGCACTCATAAAAATACAGTTTGAGCATTCAAGATGTTTCACTTCACGACGGCAAAGAAACTATTTAGATGCCAGTTGCAGCACACTGCATGGAAAATGCAAAGAAATAATTAAAAAAGAATAGTCACTGGTAGAAGTTTGTCTCCGAACAATTGGGGGTTTGAAATAAGTCTTTACATTGATTGATGGTTGCTCAGTTTCTGAGTATGAAAGTATTTTATTAAATGCATTTTCTTCTGGCTTCAGAAATCAGAAGCAGCTAGAAAAAGTGTATGTAATTATTAAAAGTTGTTTGTAAAGATTTGATAAAATTGATGCAAATTCTGTAGTTCTGTCTTTTTTTCCCTTGTGGAGGGCGGGAAGGGAAGCAAACCCAGAAATGAAGTATTTTAGTTATAACCTTAAGTTATAAGAAAATGCATACAGTTCTTGAACTTATTTTGTTAAAATTACATTGCCAGTAATTTCTTGATTATGTTTATATATTTTCTTAAGTGAAACAGAATAATCTTTTCAGACTATTCCTGCATTCACTGTTTTGATTTGGCAATTTTTCTGTACTTTTTTAGTATCTGGTGAGTGATAAAGTACCAAATTTCAGTGCTTATTTCTCCATAAAATCAACAGAATAATTTTTTTATTGTCGTCCTCATGGCTCTAAAAATACCAGTGTGCATAATACTTAACAGCAGTACTTGCAAATGGAATGTGTACACAAATCATGCAGTGTGCATGCTGAGAACTTGTATTTTGAAAGTTTTTTTCCAGCTGTTAAGCATACAGACGCTATTAGTACATTACTGGGATTCTAAATATTCTTGTTGAGTAGAAAATTTGGAAAATTATCAACTATTGATTCATTGATGTGTTAATTTATTCTAGTTTATTTTGTAATAAAATCAGAATGTAGATGAAAATAGCACCAGAACAACAGCAAAGTCTGTACATCTATTTTCCTCATTTATCTTTAACAAAATAGTAACTTTCATGGAATATATAACTTTCATATTCAAGAAGTGTTTTTCTGTAGATAGTCATTCTGGTTTTGACTGTGCCTATATGTGTTTAGGTATATATGGATTTCTGTGGTTTATAGGTAAACTGGTGGTAGGGAGTGAGAGGGAAGGAAGAGAAAAGGGAGGGAGATAAAATTGCTAAATACTGGAATGAGAAGCATTACTTAAGTAAGCGGATTTTTCTAATTTCTTGATTAGTTCTGGGTTTGCAGAGTTGCTATGTTTACTTGAAATATTAATTCATACCACTGCACAGAAATTGTAATGTGTATATAAGTAGGGAAAAAAGCCTTTATTTCATTTATTTAGTAGGAGCACTGATTAATAACTATGGTTCAGTATTTGAATTTTCTTTTTTAAATGCAAGCAGAGATTTCAGAAGTTAAAATTACTGATCTCTAGAATTGCACAGAAGTTTATGTTAGGCCACATTAAAAATGCATTTTAGCTTGTAAAATAAAGTACTATTTTCCTTTTTTTTTTCTTTTTAAAAATAAAATCTGCATTTCTTTCCAGTTGTTTTAGTAACTGATGCAGTTTTGCAGTGAAACAAAAATATTTTGCATGGTAAAACAGTATAGTTTAATACAAATAGTAAAACCTTTGATTCATTTTGAACAATATGACTTTGAGTGTTCAACTGTTGACAAATTTTCTTCATGAAGCTTGTTCAAAATATTTTTTCAAATGCAAATCAGTTTCAGTATATTTATTGATGCTGTATCTTGTATAGTCTGGATGCAACCACAGTGTAGATTTTACTGCTTAAATGGCATATCTGTTAGTCAGAGGGTCTGCTAATAGAGATTCTTCAGACCCATAGTCAAATACTTTTAGGAAGGTTGTGGGTACAGTCCAGTAAACAGGATTCTTCTGTTAAAGGCTTTTTTTTTAAGTTGTTAGTGCAAAAAGTGGGCAGACTTGTGTTTTTAGTTCCATCTTGACTGTGCAGCACTTTAAGTAAGGTTAACCAACACACCAAGTATACTTCTGCAGAACCACTACTGAATCAGCCCTGTGGCTTCAGTTCGTACCAGAAACAGGCTAGATATCTGGACTGTGTTGCCTCAGTTATTTTAACTTTACACTTGTGTGCATTTTCCACAGAGTAAAGAAGTGCTAGTGTTTCCTTGTTCCTTATCAGAGTAGTGCATATTATTTTTATGGGATTCTTCAATTATATTTATTGGTATGTTAACCTTGTTTTTCAGAACTGTCTTACTGCGCTTGGTTTATTTTTGTTTTGTTGTCATTCTCCAATTTGTATGTTCCTCTTAAATCTGTGAAAAAATAGATTTCAAACTCTGCAGAAAACTTCATGTGTTACTATCATAGTTGTTAATCGAATATTTGCTAGGCAAATTGTCCAGAGCTTTTCCTTTGGTCAGGGTAATCCTAGCATCCTTCTTTCTCCCCTCAAATCAATCTGATCGCAAAGCAAATATTATAGGACCTAACTGAAAAAAAGGGAGAATGAAGCATTTTGCACTGGAGGTGATCAGGATGAATTCAGGAGTTGGTGATGTCTTACTTAAGAACTGCTTCACCTTAAATGAACATTCCAACCTTTTTTCCTCAGTTTATTTTTTTGTGTTGTTACTGAATAGTTCATAATAATAGATTTTTAAGTTGAACAGTCACTGTTAGACCATTTGATTTAACTTCTTGCATTAAAGTTTCTCAGATGATTTCATACAGTTGTTCAGATACTAAGCCCAGTATGCTGTGCATGGTTATTACTCTTAGGAGGAAGAATGAAGTTAGAAACGTTTTAAAGCATTTGAACACAAAATTAAGCACTTGAAAATTGTTGATTTTGAAAGTGGTAATATTTATAAAGCTTTTTTTTCAAATAGCTGGCATGAATGACATGGTGAATTTCCAGTAGAGTACATACAACCAATTAGAGGTGGAATACTGCAGCATGGTGAGCGTTTGAGCATGTTTAGTTTGCTTACCCGCTGAGGATGCATAGTCATTTCAGATTGTGGATTGACCAGTTTATCCACGGCATGTTTTATGGAAGACTTGCCTGCATTGTTTTCAATCACTTACATTCTAAGCTTTAAAAATAATTAATTAATACATAGTATATGCACTGTCAAAACAAATAAGCGCTTTATTCTGTGGAAGGTTGCCTTTATTGAACTGGAGTGTTTATGATATATTTATTAAGCTCCCTGTAGAAATTCTTTATCTTCGTAGTAGGTAAAACTCACTGTAGCTCAAATGTACTGTGAATAGATTATCTCACATTCATCTTTATATATTTGACATCAAAGTAGCAGTTTAGGAAATCTGTGCTTTTAACCAGATTAAAGCAAGATGCATCATAAAAACATAATGTGGTATATTTAATACCACAAGTAGCATATATTCAACTATACAGTTCTATATTGCTGTGCTGTGCTGTGATATATTTCCATGGAGCACACACACTTGCATAACTAATGTGAGTGTGTTAGTTATAAATTGATATCTGAATGGATCACATTATGTTATTAATAACCTTATTTTACACAAAATAGTTGAATTAAGAGTATATCTTTTTTAGCAACCCAAAATATTGGGTTCTTTTTCACTTGGCTCAATTGTTGTGATGTGGAATTTGTTGCTTTTTTTTTTTTTTTTTTTTTATAGGCAGTTATGATTATTTGTGAATATGTAGAATTGTTATTAACATGTAAATCATGTGAGTTCTATGTAGATTAGAATAATTTTCATCAGACTTTACTGTATCAGATTTTGGGGCTTCCAGGTAATTTGTATAGTTTTGAACAGTTCTCACCACACAAAATGAGCCAAACGAATATGTTTGTATGCATGTGGTGACATATACTGCTGTTTATGTTTAGTCTGTGGGTTTCTGAGTTATTAATTTGCAAAATAGGTATGACTTGTAGGATATTAGATATTCTGTATTTGCACTGATTTTTTTGTTACTTTGTTTTTGAAAACCTGTTAACGGTTTCAATGTAGTTTAGAGACTTTAGAGTAGGAAGACTTACTCTTGGTGCAGATTCTTTGAAGATGAAATTAAGTAAATCATGTCAAATTTAGTTGCTTTGGGGTGGTGGGTGGAGGAAATAATCATAGTTTGCATCCTCAGATATGTGTCAGTATTTCCATTTTTTAATGTGTCAGCTATATAAATCTTTAGCTGTTTTGTACTAAGAGCATCACTACCAAAATACAGTTACTATGCAGATTTTCCTTGCTTCTAGATTTGTAAACAAAATTTGGAGTGGGAGAGGGACAGAGAGTATGAAATAATGTGGTTAAGTTGGCATCAATTGTATTACCTCTCAGTTCCAAGTACCACACCATTGAACTTTTTCTGTAAAGTTTTCATGTTTACTCAGTGAAGAATGTTACATAATTGCTAGTCAGGAATGAAATTCCATTTATCTTTATATTAAATACGTTAATATTTAGCTATAGTTTTACTGCATCTTAATGACTTAGCTGGACACAGGTGACTTTTTTCCAAATGATACTGTCATCTTTGTGTTGAAATTTAGTTACTATTTATTGTATACTTGTCAAAAGCTATTACTGTTGATACGCTAGAGCTGTACTACCTCCTGTGATAATATATTTTAAACTTTTTTTGTATCTAAATTTTTGAGGTTACACAATATCTGTATCATTTTCTTTTTCAGGAAATTTGAATGTTACTCTTCAAGTGTGGGATGTAGGGGGGCAAACAATAGGAGGCAAAATGCTGGATAAATATATATATGGAGCTCAGGTACAGTATAAGTGATGATAATTTTATCTATAGTAATTATATAAAATTCATTTAAACTTTGTTCCTAAAAATATATCTATATATCTATATATCTATATATCTATATATCTATATATCTATATATCTATATATCTATATGTCTATATATCTATATATCTATATATCTATATATCTATCTTACAGGTTGTTTTGTAGATCTCAAAAATGTTGATTCTCTGCTTAATGTGAACTTACTTGATATTAAAAAGTAAGTCTAATTTTGGTATGTAGTTAATTTTTTAGAGCTGCTTAAAAAGCAAAACAAGGGTGAGCATTTGTAGATCTGAATAACTCTCAAGAACAGATGTATGTTTCCATGCTTTGTGTCTTGAGTTAAAGAAAAGCAATCATAGTAAATAGTACAGGGTATTTGGATATCCACATGGTAGATATAGAGGCTGCTTTTAGAACAGATGCCTCCTGGGGGGAGAAAGTAGAAGGAGGAAATTAAGAGCAATCCTACACCATTAAACTCATACATGCAACTGGGGTTATAAGAGGGCAAACAAAAGGAGGCAACCAGGTAGCTAAATATTTTTGCAGAACTCCTATCCAATGAAAATTAATTTTATCTTGAGGTTAACTAAGTAACCTGAAGTGAATGGTAGCTAAATATTATAACAGAACCTGAGTTATGTGATGGTTTAGGAGGATGTACTATACACTGAACTTCTTAACATGACTGATCCTAAAATATACTAATTTTTTAATGAACTAATGACTGTTCTATCTCTCATCATTGGCATGTATTGCCAATGTCTGTAATAGGCTTCTTATCATCAAAGCTGAATTGTAACACTTCTATTAGCATCTGTTAAAAGACATGTAAAACTATCTTTATTTTCATCTATTCATGAAACACCAGGAATAATTTGGAAAGGCACTGCTTTCAGCTTGTTTCTAGGCAGAAGCTTATTTTATTCTGAACACCTGTAGCTTTGTAGAAGAAAAAGAGGAAAGATAAAGTAGAACAAGTAGGAGTAGTTAGAAGGAAAAATAATTTTAGGTACTTATAAAAATTCCTGTGAATTGACAGCAAAGCAGCAAGAGAGTAATTGGGGAGAGCTAGCATGGAATTATCAAGGGTAAAGTGTGCCCAACATACTTGACTGCCTTCTGTGGTTAGGTGACTGGCTCTGTGGAAGGGAGAGCAGTGAATGTCATTTACCTTGACTTCAGCAAGGCCTTTGACATAATCTCCCATAATATTATTACAGACAAAATGTAGAGATACAGACTGGATGGCAGGACCACAAGGTGACTGAAAAACTGAATGAACAGCTGGACTTAAAGGGCATGTTCCATAGCTCGGTGCCTTACTGGTGCCTGGTTTTAAGTTGTATTCCTTAAGGGTTGGTACTGGGGTCATGTCTTTTATTAATTATTTGAACAATGGAGCAAAACATTGTAAGTTTGCAAATAACACCAAATTGGGGAGGAATAGTCAATATGCTGGAGGGATAGGGGTACTGCTGAGAGAGACCATGACCAACTGAAGGAATGGACCAACAGAAACATTGTGAAGTTCACTGAAGATAAATGCAAACTCCTGCACCTGGGACAGTATAACCTTATGTGGGCTGGGAATCAACTATCAAGGAATCAACTGGAGATCATTCAGTAAAGGGCCACAAAGCTGATTAATGGCCTGGAGCATCTCCTGTATGAGGAAGGCTGAGAGAGCTGAGACTGTTCAACCTGGAGAAGAGAAGGCACAGGGGGATATTTTCATTATATATAAATATCTGAAGGGAGGATGCAAAGAGGATGGACCCAGCCTTTTTCCAGTGGTGCCAGTGGCAGGACCAGAGGCAATGGACACAAACTGAAACCCAGGAATCCCTTTCAACATCAGGAAACACTTTTTCACTGTGAGGGTGACTGAGCACTGGTACAGATTGCCCAGAGAGGTTGTAGAGTCTCCATCTTCAGAGACAGTCAGAAGCCATCTAGACATGGTCCTGGGCAGCTGGCTTTAGGTGACATTGCTTGAGCAGGGGCATTGGACCAGATGACCTTTAGAGGTCCCTTCCAACCTTAAGTCATTTTGTGAAACGGCTTTGGAGAAAAGAAGGCGGGGGTCCTACTGAAAAAACCCCAACATTTGAATAGGAGTCAGCAATGTTACCCTTGCAACAGTGAAAGCTAATTAAATACTGGGCTGCATTAGTAAAAATGAAGTAGGCAAATTAAGGAAAGTGATTGTCATCCTCTCTGGTGTTTTTGAGGCTACATTTGGAGTACTGTGCTCAGTTTTGGCTTCCGCAGTACAACTAAAGCCTTTAAAATACTGCAGTAACTCTAGCAAAGGTTGCTACCTATGTGTAGTATGTGTACCTATGGTGTGTTGCACTTGGTCAGCGTATATGATGCAACTGGGATTTTTAACATCTTGTTTGTAAAGTACACAAGCTGTACACATACACACAAAGTAGGTGATGAGGATCTGTTGCAGAAAAGGTGTTCGTCTACATGGACGCTCCAAATCTAAATAATTCAGATTTGAAGAACATGTGTAGAATAGATTGCAGCATGCCTATAGTATGCATCATGCCTTTATCCAGTATTTGCAGGTGCTCGTAGCCTTGTATAGACTTCATTTGTTTGATCATCATGAGATTCAGAAATCACAAGTGGCTGAGTTCAGAATTGAGATTCAGAAATCCAAATGTGTAGTAGACTTACTTATAAAATCATATGACCAGCTGGAGATGGAAGTTTTGAGAATCTACAGCAACTGAAAAGGTTATCTACAGTCTGCAGTTCACTTGAGCTCAGCTGAAATTTGATCAGGATACCAGGAGGAGTAAGAGGAACATCCATCTGTACTTTGCTGCAAATCTTGCCACTGGAGGTTTCCTTCTCTTTGAATGAGAGCTGAATCATTTCTCTAGGATAGATCTTTTAATTAAATTACTGTTAAGGGGCTATTTTTTGACTGAGCATTCCTGATTTCTTGTGTTGTGTTTTAAAATATGGATGCCAGATTTGAGGATGAGAACCTCCTTAATTTGCTTGCGTGGTTGCAGTTGGAGAAATTGCAGTTCACTTGGTGTCTTGAAGCAGATGCTTTTTCACCCCCTGATTTTCTCTGCTGTTGCTCATCTACAACAATGTAGTTGCCACATGCTGTGTTGGTAGCTGAATTTCACTGATGGGGCAGATGAACTGTGCAAGTAGAGGGGAAGAAGAGGTCTTTGATCTTTATAAATAAAAGGTGCTCATAAACATCTTTCTGTCAGTGTTGGTTAAAGCTGATTAAATCTCAGAATTAAGGGAGGATAAGAGTAATTGTTCCTCAGTTACCACAGATGAAGTGATGGACAGTAGCTCATCCAATTATGGCAGCTCAATCATGTGTATTTGAGTGACCATAGCCTCAGTATCAGTGAAGACAAGTTAAGTATATGTAGACTGTAAACTGTTTTCGCTTGTTAAAAACAGCATTTTTGCAGATGCGCAAGATATAATGAAGTTGCTCTTTGCTAAAATAAATATTCTGTGACTAGAAAACAAATTTAGAATTTTGGTCTGACATTTAATGAATATTAATTAAAATTTGAAGGTTAGTTTAGTTCCTTCATACTAAAGTCAGTCATAGGGTTGAGGACAGCTGAGCATAAATCTGAAGAAGAAAACATATGGTTTTAATTAGTGTTTTCTATAGCTTTCTTCTATTGTGACAAATTTTGTCATAAACTTGACACCTTTTATATGTTGATTGTCTAGTGTGAATATATTGCCTGGTTAAAACACTTCATAATAGCAGTTCTGCTGTATAATAACACTGCTGCTGTTTGTGTGGTAAATATTTCAGAACCACTCCCATCTCTTACTTGTAATTGCTGTCCCTACCCACACATCTAGTTTAAAGTATCTTTAAGAGCTGGCATATGCTACCTCAGAAATTGTTTTTTTTAATAGAATAAGAGTACTGCAGACTTTACCTTCTCCAGAGGCCAGCAAATCATTTCTGCAATTTTCTGTTTCCAGTGACCTATTTTTGAAAATACGCTATAATTCCAAAACAAAAAGCATTCACATATGCACTAGCGTAGGCAAAATGTCTCTCTTAGTAGAGTGCAATTATACAAGCAGGAACTATTTGCCACGTTGCTGGAGACTAGAGAATTAACGTGCTGTTCTTGGCAAGTTGTCTGCCATGTGTTTCAAACCTTTTTCATGGCAGGGAAACGCGCTACTTTTGTGTAAAAAGGCCAGTGTTAATTTTCCATCTTAATTCCTCATGCATAATAAGGAAACAGCAACTTTTATACTATCTACTTGTTCTGTACTCCATATACTGTAAATCTTTGGAAATTATGATGTATTTTTGTGAGAGCAATGGTGGGGTCTCTGTTAATTAAAAAAGATGAAATAAATTTTAGCTGTGGAGTTATGACTAGTCACTCATTAGTTATCTATATCATAGTAAGTTACTTATTGAGTGCTATTACAGTGAAAATCTTAAGCAAGAAGTATTCTTTATGACCTGGATGCTGTGCTGCCTTTTTTTTGCATTTCTGAGATGTCATACTTGACATTTTTCTTTCTTAAGTCTACCAAATATTGACAAAATTAAAAAAAAAAAAAAGAATGGTTAAGAAAATATTATGCTTTAGAAGCAGTGTTTTATATCATGAAGGGAACCTAAAGGAAGTTAGGTGAGCTCTAGTTACGAACTTTGTTCAGTGATTTCTTTGATGGTAAAGGCACTGTGGAACCCTTTCTTCCAAAGATGTAGGTAGGCTGCATTTGACTAGGACATGTAGCAGAGTAGCATTTTCGTGAAGAGTTAGTTAGAAACTGTTGACCAACCTTAAATACTCGGATTCTATTAACTTTGTCTTACATTTAACTCAGATTAAACTCCTCAGTGCTGAATATGGTTTAGTCTTCTATGCTTTTCTGCAAGCTGGTGGGAGAACTTGACCACTGGTGAAAGAAACATGCCATGTGCTTGTTCTCATTTACAATTTTCAGCCTTATATCTGTTTTGTTTTTTTGTTTTTTTTTTTTTTAACCTCTACAGTATCTGTCCTTCAGGTTGAGTTTCTTCTTTTCTACTGAGTATTTAGTAACATCACCATGTCCTTCCTAGTGCAAGGCTTATATTATGAAAGACAGATCTATACATGCACGGGCACTTGAGTAGTTACAGAAATAGAAGTTAACAGAAATGCAAGATATTAAGGAATAAATTGTACAAAAGTTGGAAGAGGGAAGTGAATGTTTAATATTAGATTTGATTATTAAAATAGGAAAGATAGCAAGGGAAATGATGGGTGTCATAATTCTTAATTTCCTTGAAGGGACTGGTGAGAACTGTTCCTCAGAAATTAATAGCAGCCGTATAAATATGAGGAATAAGAACTCATTTTGCCAAGGAGTTGATGACATTGGATGAAAAGAGATAGATTTGTTGTGCTGTTAAAGAGAAATAGGAATCAAAGAGATCTCAGTAGGATCTGTTGCCCTCCTCTAAAGCTATACCTGTATAATGTCTATTTCGTTTTTATCAGCTTTCAGAAATCTTCCAGTGTTGGTGACTCTGCTATCCCTGAAGGTGGTGTATTTCAGAGCTTTACTCTTCTTATGGTCTACATGTTGTTAATTTTTTTTTTTTTCTATTATGTACCCTTGCTATAATCTTCTTGCTGTAAGTTGAACCTATTGCTACATGTTGTATTGATCAGAGAATCATAAGAAAGTTCAGGGGTGGAAGGGATCTCAGAAGATCTCTAGTTAAACCTCCTGCTCGAAGTAGTGTCAACTGTGAGATGGGACTAGGTTGGTCAATGCTTGATCTAATTCCTTGTAAACCGCTAAGGGTGGAGACTGAGCAACCTCTTTGGGCAACTTAGCCAGTTTTTGATTCTCCTCATGGTGAAAAATCTTTTCCTTATATCCAGTTTGAACTTCTCTTGTTTCAACTTATGTCTATTATATTTCATCCTGCCATGCACTACTGTGAAGAGCCTGGCTCCACCTCCTTCATAGCTTCCTCATGGGTATTGGAAAGCTGCTTTTAGGTCCTCCTAGGGCCACCTCCTCTCCATGCTGAAGAATTCTCGTTCCCTTATTTTTTCCTCATTCCTTAGTGCTCCAGCATCTGGTCATCTTGGTGTCCCTCTGCTGAACTTGCTCCACTTTATTGACATCTTGATGGGCCTAAGACTGCATGTGTTATTTCATATATGATCTAACAAGTGCTGAATAGAATGGAATAGATCATTTGGTCTGGTGGCAGTGCTTCTGCTAATACAGTCCAGGATCATCTTGGCCATCCTTCCAGCCAGGAGACATTGCTGGCTCGTATGTGGCTTGAGATCTGCCAAGACCTGCAGGTCATTTTCAGTTGCTCCCCAACCAGTGAATTCTCCCAGCCTGTCCTGTTTATTCTTCCCCAGCTGCAGGGCTTTGCATATGTCCTTGTTGAACATTGAAAGGTTCCTGTTTGCCCACTCATTCCTTGAGCATGTCTACATGCCTCTGAATGGTAGCCCTGCCGTCAGGCACATTGGTTGGTCCTCTCAATTTAGTGTCATCTCCAAACTATGTATAAGTGCATATAAAAAGTGAACTCCTGTTGTCTTCTCTTGAAACTTTTACCAGTATCATTATGCCTGCCATCAGTCTTGTGTTTATTGAAACAGTCCATTTTTTTCAATGTTCTGATATCAGTCATGACTTCTAAACCTGATATTGTTACTGGTCTCTTGTAGTCTACCCTTTATTTGACACTCATTGTCCAAAGCTGGATGCATTATTTCACCTGGAACATTTTATGCCAATGTGATATTTGCCTTTTTGCTACAAAATAAGCTTGACATATTCAACTGTGGTCTACTATAACGTCTTGATCCTGTTGTATAGAACCTCCTACAAAGCCAAATGTTTCCTATTGTGCAGTTGAGTATTGCTTCATTTGAACTTGTCATGGTACTTATTGAATTGCATCCTATTATTTTTAGATTATTTCTCATCATATAATCTGAACTCTGCTCAAATAATCTTGCAGTCTCTACCAGTTGGTTGTCATCTGTGAAATTAATTTAATAAGTGTGCACTCTCCATCAGGAGTGTCTTAGATCACGAAACTATCAAGTAAAACTGGGCCCAGACAAATGCCTGAAAAAACTTGATTTGAAAAATCTTTTCTATTGACAGTGGGTCATTGAACCAGATAATTTTGTATGCATTGTATTGTTTTTTTAGAATATTTGTGAAAATTTAATGTGTGTGACAGTGTGCAGTTGCAGGGATTTTTTTTTCCATATGTGAACTCCATGGGAACAAGTGCAACAGAAGCCACTTCTGACTTTATTCCTCATTTACAAGATACTTAACCTTGTTAGGATGTAGTGGAAAGCAGGGATAGAAGACTCCATAATTGAGAAAAGTGTGATTTGTCAGACCTGATCTTAGAATTATGGAGGGAAGAAGGTGGACATTGGGCTGTTAATAGTCTGTGCTTTATAATATTGGATATTAGCTCTGAGGAACCCTTAGTAGTGTCTGCTTTGAGTATTTGTTACTTGTAGCCTAGCTCAAAACCTCTGGAATAGTTGGGGCTCCCTTCTTTTTGACTTTTGATCACATCTTTAGTTTTTCCTTCGAAAGTTTAAAGCTTGCCAGTACTTTCTTGTTTTCTATGACAGTGAAGGAAGGGATCTGGCTTTTTTCCCCAAAGCAGGAAAGAGACATGATGGTCAGGGAATGTGCAGAAATGTACAAATGAACTGCTTTTATTTTTATTTTTTTTTTCAAAAAGAGAACAGTGAAACTACTAATAATACTATCTAAATTAAAAGTCTTTCTCCAGTGTGATTTTTTTATCTTACTATTAGTGTGAAGTGCTTTTTTTGTTTTTTTCATAAAGCATATACAATTTGGAATATTTATAATTCTATTTCTATTTCTAATTCTACCTGATTATGCTTTTTACTGAATTGCCATTTTTTATTCTTCCCTTGTAGTTCAGTTAGCATCTGAATTTGGAACAAATGTAATGCAGGAGAAATACTGTAATAAAATGTGTTTATTACAGAAACTTGTAATTCCTTTAATTATTCCTCAAAAGATACAATGCCATTATTTGTGAATGTTCTATTTTATGATAATAATAATGATAGTTTAGACTGATGCACATTTTACCATGTTAAAATATTTTTACAACCTGTAACATTTTAAATATATCTTTTTATTTAGGGTATTCTCTTGGTTTATGATATTACCAATGGCCAGAGTTTTGAAAATTTAGAAGACTGGTATAATGTGGTAAAAAAAGTGAATGAAGAATCAGAAACACAGCCACTTGTGGCCTTGGTTGGAAATAAAAGTAAGTTATTTGTACTTAAGTATTAATTGATATACTCTGGTTGTTGCTCTCTATTGACATAATGGCACAGGATATATATATCTAGAGTAAAATGAAACTAAATACTGTCTTGTGTGTTGTTGCTGCGTACAGATGACATATTTGGGTGTACCTCAGGATTCTAGTTGTGGGCAGTTAGGTTGAGGGATTTGCTGCGTCATGCTTTGCCTAGCCTGCAGCCTCTCTGCCTGTGCTTTCTTTACCTTGGAGAGCCCACAGGAGTAGAGGGATCTCGCTCACCCATGTCTGAATTTGATAGAGCTTCGGGATATAGCCTTGGCAAGCATCTAGAACGGAGAACTGGGAAGCATTTCTGCATCTAATAACAGGTATATTTCATGGTTCTCTATGTCAAGAGACTGCTAAATTAACTACTAGTATATATTATTGAAAATAACTACAGTCTCCACTAGGCATAATATTTATGAGTTGGTTATTAGGGGTTTTTTTGCATGTTGTCAGTAGTTTTTGCATGAAGTTATGCGTTTCCTGTTTTCAGATTTTGTAACCTGTTCTCTTTTTGATCACTTAAGTATGATACAGTGGTTTTCTTCTGACCACCAAAATATGCCACTTTAAATAATCATCACCTAGTTAGTTTCCTAATTAGATTGATTCCAAATTCCCACATTTCCATCTAAGAAATCTTACAGAAACATCCTTATTAGCATATCTGAAGTCTTGATCCTGGATCTCTTACCCTTGTTCTATTGAAGAGGATAAAAGCAACATAAATAAATTTTAGAACAAAGTGGTGGAAGCAGATACAGATTTTTTTAAACAGTGTAAATGTATTTATTGAACAACAAAAAAGAGATTTGATTTTTTTTTTTTAACTTTTCAGGTAATTAGTGCCCATGTCACAATGTCCATATCATGAACAAACCTGAAAAAAGTACCTCATCTAGCAAGTTAGCATTCTTTAAAAGCATTTGAAAACAATGTAGAGACAACATTTTAATTTGAAACCATTAACTGTAGTGTTGCTACTGTGATGCTGTAACATTTTGTATTAATTATGAAAGACTACTTATCTTCTGGGAAGAAAATAGAGAAACTCTTAGAGTTATAATATATAAATAGCAATTCTGAAAGTGTAACATTGACAGTGTTGTACTCTAGCAGACCAGAGTCAATAATACAGATTCTGTTGAAATTCAAATGAAAAATATTTTTCATTGATTTGTATTTTGACTCAAAATTGGACTTCCTATCTGGAGTTCTGCAAATCATGTGAAGTATTTACAGTAAGATACACTGTAGCATAGGATAAATGATGTTCTTTTGCTGAAATGACACCATAGAGGTAGAAAATCAGACACTGGTTTCCATTTGAAGTTTTATTTCTGTTATATACCTTAAGTATGTAGATTTTTCTCATATACATGCCTGAAATTCTTTAAAATCCAAGTATTTCCTTGGGAGCATCTGTAAATAGAACATGGTTTTACAGGTGAGTTTCCAGATAAAAGCTGACACTGACTAGTGAAAGGGCTTTCATTTTATGAGAATAGCAGCTGATGGGACAATGTGCTTGCTACCTTGTTTTCCTTCAGAAGCTATGTATAAAGAAAAAAATCAAACTGTTACTTTCATGTGATCCTAAGGATATTTGCTGTTGTTACACATATTGAGCATGCAGGGGATGCTGTTCACAGAGGTCTTTTTTGCCTTATTTTTGTTTCAGCATGATAAAAATTAAGCTTTTAGAACTGTATTGCTTTTCTGAATTCTATGATAGGGGAAGAATATCTAGGAGGGCTTCCACCTCAATACTTTAATCCTGTCAGAGGTAACTGTAGTCAGGCTCCTCTTGTTACATAAATAGAAAACAAGGTAAGTATATAGAAGCATGGTCTTGACTCTTGCATATTATGAAAGGATAAAGCTAACAGTACTAATCTTTGGGTGGAATCGCTATGTTCAGAATAGCTCAGCTTCTTTACTCAGTAAGTGATAAGACACTTGTATGCAATGCAAGAGCAGTAGTAGGTTTAAAGCCAAGAAAAGCCATGTGATGAATTGATGAACTTCTTTGACCTCATGCATCATACAGGAGAAATACTTTCAGTCAGTAGTTTCTGTCTCGGGATTGTACTTGTTTTTGAGTTATACATGTCTTTTAGGAAAGTATCCAGGTATGCTCACTTAAAGACTAGAAATGTCTATAACCACAGACAAGTTACTCTAATGTTCTTTCTGAGAGAAGTTTTAAAAAATTGCCAAGAATGCACTTATTTTCATTCATAGCAAATGGAAAGCATTGGGCCAGTATTTAGTTACCTAGATAAGAATTTGAAAGCCCAGCTGAAATAATCCACTTTGAAACCTTGGCCTAAATTTAATGCTGCTCTTTTAAGTATATTTAGCTTGACTTAGTCTTTCATTTGTCCATTTTCACTTACTAATACTGTCTGAAAGAAACGTCTGTTTTTCGATTTTTGGGGTAAAAACACCTGTGATCTCTGCTGTAGTGCTTCAGAAATAGGAATAAAGCTATAGTTTTAAAAAAAAAAAAAGCTTGGAAGAAAACAGCAGTGTTTTTCTTCACACTGTAATATAGAAATCTGAAATGAAACATTAATTCTATCACATAAAAATCATTTCCTTGGGTAACTTTGTCACTGAAAGCAAATTAAATCAGATATAGTAGTATATGGTGCATAATTGTGTACTAACTCTTAAATTATCTATAAACCTGCATGATTTGTTAGTGTTTTTTTGTATCAATTTGTAGTCGTTCTGTTAAATGTTAGATTTGCACAAATTTTTTCAGTATTCCACCAAATTTGAAATTTAAATGAATCAGTGCTAGTTTTGACTATTCTGTTGCATTGTACTTTGCAATAGATTAGAAGCATGAACACAGCTACTGTGTCTGTTTAAAGTATGGTAATTAACTTCAGAGTGTGGCAATTTATTAAAATGTCCTCTTGTGATTCTAAGAGAGTAATATTTACTCATGAAACATTGGAAAGGTGATTTCTACATACAAAACTCCAATCAGTTTCCAGTCTCTCATCCATCAGAAATTTATTTGAAAATAATACAGTACTATTCATTGAGATCTCCTAAATTCTTGACCTTCCCAGCTCTCTTTTTTTTTCTTTTTTTTTTTTTTTTCCTCTTTTATTTTCTTTTTTATTCAGGATAAGCTAAGATGAAAGACTCACTGCTCACTAATTTATTAAAATAATTGGGAGAACAAGAGGTTCAGAGATGCAGTCCTCCTTTATGAAAACAGTACTTTATTTAAGGTGACTGTCTTCCTCGAGGTGCTTAGTTTTATTTTTAATTCTTCCCACACTTTATTTTTTTTCCATAAGCTAACCTACATGTTGAGTCAGATAGAGTAAAAAACTGATTTGAGTCAAGATCTTGCCCAGACCTGCTTCCCACATTTATGCCAGATTTTCAGTTATTTCTCTGCCTTTCCATAGATTTTTGTCTGTGTGTTTGGTCAACAATGAAAGGAACTGTAAAATTTAGTGCAGAATTTCTCTTTTTCATGTTAATTTTAAGTCATAAGATCTTAATAATCCTAAAATTTACAGTTGGCATTGAATCTTAGTCACCTTTCCTTGTAACTTATTTTGTATTATTTGAATGTTATTTAATACAAAGTGTATTTGAAGTGAGCTTATTTCTATGTTGCTAATACCACTTGATTTGTACCAGAAATAGGGAAGCAAACCTTTTTGTTAAGACTAAAAAATGCTTTTGAGTTTCAATGCGGTAACTTAAAACTTTTATGGATATGTTGCTGTCAAATACTTTGACTTATATTGTGTAATAGAAATAAAACTATAGTTATCAAGCAAATTAATTGTGTTTTGTGCATTTAGTATCTTGGCTTAAATTTGGTATTGACAGAATTGAGTAATCACAGTGGATCTTCTAGTAGTTAGTGTGAATTAGAGAGGTTTTACTGTGTTTTGTATGACTGATGTGTTTCTTTCCTTTCTACCTTGACTACTTTATATATTTTCCTCTGCACTAATCTATAAGCAGTCTCCTCAAGTGTCGTACCAACATTTTCAGTGGATATATTTTAAACAGAAATTAACCCAGGTTGCATAGGAGCTACACTCGTTTTGATTTATAGCTACTGAGATGGTCTTAGGGCAGTGGTTATCTGTAGCTTATATAGGGGGTAGGAATTATCAGGTACCAGTGTATAGCGGATGGATGAATGATTTCTATTCTTAGAGATATTAACCAGATCCACTCCTCAATAAAGACTAATAACTCAGATTTTTAAACAGTCTTCATGACAGATGAGGGCACAGAGGAGAATGCATCAACGCTAATTAAGAATGTTGACCGTTTGTTCGTCTCAGCCATGATTAATTGATCTTGGAGAGCTATCTCTGAACAGGAAGTGGTATGCTGTTACAGTGTGAAGTTTAAAGGTTACATTTTAGTGTACCCTTTAACTTGCATTTACATAAAACGTAAAATGTTTTTACCTATCTTATCTGAGTGCAGAAAGAAACATTTTCCAGCCCAGATACAAATGAATGTTTGGTGTATACTATGTACTAATGTGAATCTGGCTGGCAACAGGACATTCGCAGTCTGCTCTTGGACTCTGTTACTGCCTTATATACTTAGTCTCCTCAGTTGTACTCAGAAAATTTCTTCATTAATACTCATGTTTAGATTCTGGCTTATTAAAATTCAGAACTATACATTTATTCTCTTGTCCCTCCCAACTTCCTCCAGCTGTTTTCTGTTCTTTTTTCCTGTGGGCTTGCACTTATTAGGTCCTTCACCTGTAATTAAGACAAGCGTTGAGGAGAAAATGCAAAGACCCCTGTTCTTTTGAGTCTTATGCCTAATTAAACTAAAGTTCTTGTATGCCTAACAGCAGGTCCAGTCACCTGAGCCTCACACATGCTCCTGGGATTGGAGGGTAAACTACTTACATGTAGAGACTCCCTTAAAAAGAAAACCTTGTC